TATCTTAGAGTCTTTGTATTTCTGGCGGGATTAAATAAAAATATCATAATTACTTATACCGCGGTATTACCTGCTTATTTACAAGTAAATAAGTATTACTGAATAATAGTTATTCTATTATAATATATTATTATATTTTTAATAGTATTTTATTCTTTAAACACGCGAGACAGTTAAGATTTTAATACTAATAAAATAAGCCTGTATTATTAGAATTTTTATTATTTTTCTCTTAGAAAAAAGTTTTTTTTATTTTTTAATATAAGAATAGTTTTTTTTTTATTTATAAACTGTTTATACAGATCTAAATAATATAAGTTTATAATAGATTCTTAGATTATATCTTTCTCACAAGAATATCTCTTCTACTAAACTAAGAATTCTCTTATCTTATTCCAGGTCTTTTCTGCTTGAAGCCTTTCTATATAATATTTCTGGGGTTTTTTATTCTGGTAAGCTATAAAAAATTACTTTGTAGATTTTATTTCTGATATTTTTTAATACTTACGTAATAAGAATATATAAAATATATTATATACTCTAACCCCTGCGGGAAGTTTTAATTAATAAGCTTATTTTCTAATTTTTTTTATTATATATAATAGCCCTGTGCTTAGTTAATTAAGCTTTTTATTTAGCTATAGGCTTTACTAATTCTTTAAAAATAACCAGATTAATTAATTTTTAGTAAATACTTTTGCTTACTTCTTCTGGTTATAGTACTGGGCCTAGTACTCGCGAGTATATTTTAATAATTTTTTAATTATCTTATAAATTCTTTTAATTTATAAGATTTATTTTTATACTAATTCTTTTATTTCTAGATTTTCTTGCGAGACTAGGGTAATTATCCTAAGATATTCCCTAATTAATATATAAAAAAGTAACACCTGGGTTAAGCTTTATTAAATATTATTATATATAAACTTTATAAGGGGAAGATAGTTAACCTAATTATTTTAATTAAAGTTAATATATACCTATAAATATTATTTTAATATATTATTTAACCGCTCTGTCTGGCCATTTATCTAAAAATAATATATAATATTTAACCCCTGCTTAATTTATAAATAATATATAAATTCAGACCAGAAACCCTTCGCGAATACTAATTTATAATTAGTAATTATTTTTACAGGCATACTATAGAGTCTAAAGATTTTATAAATTAGTATTTATATTAACTTTTCCTTGTAAATTATCTTTTTTGCGGAAATAAAATATATTATTTTAGTAAATTGGTTTATAATTACTAATATATAATTAAATGAGACTTGTAAACTATTTATTATAAGCAGGCTCGCGGGAAGATCTATAATAAAGTTTATTATTATTTATTTTTAGATCTTCCCAGGAACCAGCAGTAATTTTAATAGTTTATATTATTTTTTATAAACCTTCCGGCCTCCCTGATATTTTTTATAAATTATATAGTATTTTTTAATAAATACTATTATCTATAGCTAGTAAAATCTCTGTAAGACTAATTTATTAGTTCTTTATAAAATAAAATACCTAGTAAATAAATTATTATAAAGTTTTACTAGGATAGCTAGCCTTAATTCTAAACTATCTAGAATATAAAACTTATTTTTTTAGTATAACTAGTCTCCGCAAGACTTTTATTTTGCTAGTTTACCCTTTTTTTTATTTTTATAATAAGTAAACTTTTCAGGCTTCACAAATCCTTAACAGATCTTTTATATAAAAATATTTATCTAAAATAACTAAAAAGTTTTCTTTAACAGTTCTTCTGAAAGATCTTTTTAATAAAATCTTTTTTTATAAATAACTTTTATAGTCTATACTTATATTTTAGCCTAGTCAGCCGCAGTAGTTTTTTTTATAAAAATTCTTTTTGTAACTACCTGCTTTATTCCTAGATCTAAAAGATTTATAAACTACTAGGGAGCTTTAGTATTAAGCTCCTGTATATTTTTCTAATAGGCAGACTTTTTATAATCAGGTCTTTATAAAAATATATTTACTAGGTTTTTTTTTTCAGATAATATTTTAAAATAAAAGAAAAATTTATAAGCTTTTATACTTATTATACCTATTTTCATAATAGTTCTTTTATAATAAAATAATATAATATATTATAATCTATAAAGATCTTAATAAGGTATTTTATCCTCTCTAGATAATATTTTTATTTCTTAAAATCTTTTATTATTATAAGTAGTTTCTAGTTATAAATCCTGTAATTCTACTCTGCGGGAATTATTTTATAAAAAAAAAAGTAACTAGTCTTTATTAATTATTTTTATTTAACTATAAGAGAATTACACTAATTATATAAATAAATATGTCTGTTTTTATTCGCGAGGGTAAATCCTTATAAAAATAATATATAATTATTATATTCGCGAAAGCTTCCTTCAGATTTCTAAAGCTTTCTCTTATATTTATAATTAAAAAATCTAGACTAGACTTTCTCTCCTTTTTATTTAGGAATTTTTTAGTTATTTTAGTTAGAGCTATAGTTAAACCTGAGAATTATCAGATAAATCTTTGATATTAGTTTATAAATCTAATAAATCTCTAGATATTATAGGCACTTTTTAATATTAGTTAATCTATAATTATCTAGACTCGCGAAATTTTTATTTAGATCTTATCCTAATTAATAATAAATCCTAAGAAGTTTATTTTTATTACTATAAATTTATATTTATTAAGTTTTATATATAGGCCTGTTTTTTATAAAATTCAAAAAATTTTATAGATTTATTTCTTATAATCCTTTAGATCTTATAAGTAAATTATAATATTATTTAGATAAATTATTATAAAATTATTAAGATAATCCTAAAATAGGCTATTAATAAACCCCTGAAATATTATAAGTATATTTATTAAATTAAATAATATTATGAAATACTTAAATAATCTGAATTTTATTTAGAAAGCTGTTTTCCACTTATAGCCCGCGGCTATATAAATCTTATAATAAATATTATAAAAATTAAGCTATATAAACTATAATACTCCGGTTAATATGTTAATACACTTATTAATCTTTAGTAGTGGGTAAGTATTCTTCGCGGATACCTTATTTATATCCTGAAAGTCTATATATATCTATAAATCTTTATTTTTCTTTATTATGAATAATACTGGCGCTCTAATAAATAACTTTAAAGTTTAAATTTATTCCTATTTTAAGTTTTTCTAAAGATATTCTTATAATATTTTATTTTCCACGGGAGACGTCTTATAAATTAGACTAATTTATAATTTAAAATCTTTTACTAAATAAATCTCTAAATTAATATTTTTATAATATAAAAATAGGCCCTCTATAAGATTTTCTAAGAAAACCTCTGCAAAATCTTTTAATTATTCTAAGATATTTTATCCTTCTAGTTCTGCCGTGTTTATCTAATAAATATAGATTATAATTAATTAATTAAATTTATTTTTCTTAAATTCTTTTATCTACTCCTCCGCAGATACTAAAATAATATAAATCTAATCTTTGTGAAAAAGCTCCAGATAATATTTATAAAAATAAATAATAGATTTTTTTTAAATTATTTATAGTATTCCTAAGATTATCTTTAATATACTAGAAGATATTATTATAAACTTTATTTAAATCTTATAATAATCTTATAAATCCTTTAATTTTAAATAAAATTATATAATCCCCTGTAAAAAGATTTTATAGCTATTTACCCTAGCTATCTTAAACTAAATAAATAATTTTTTCTATTCTATCTTCTTTGTAAGATTAAAAAATACCAGATTTGCCTCTACCCTAATATTAATCAATATTTTTATTAAGTCCCTTTTTTTTTATTTAGTTATTATCTTATTCTGTTTTATAAGACTTGAGGGTATTAATTATTTTTATAATTTTATTAATAAAAATTTCGCAAGAAATAATTTTTTTAGTCTTCTTTCCTTATTTATCTATAGTAAACTAATACCTCCCACTAGTAAACCTCAGAATTATACTAATTTTTTTAACTAGTAGTTAAATACTTTGTAGTCTAGTTTACTATAGTTAAAGTACTTAACCTATAATAAATTATTTTATTTTTTTATAAGATCTACTTTTTTATTAGGTAATTTTTTTTATAAGATTCTAAGTAAATCTTTCTATACCTTATTATTCTTTATAAACTCTAAAAACCCCTGTCCCGAATAATTCTAGTCTAGGTTTAGATTTTATAAGCTTAATTACTGGTTTCTCCCAGGTCCCGGTTAGTAGTCCTTTATAAAAAAATACAGGCGTAAGATTAGTAAGATTAACTCTTACTCTAATTTTAGGAATTTAGATTACTTATAAATTTTTTATTTAAGTTCCTGATTAAATATCTTATAAAATAAATAAAATTATAAATAATCTATTTTTTCTGCCTTATCCCTAAGCTCAGACCTAGTCTTCTTCTATCTTTAAAAGTAGGTATAATCACTTTTATTCTCGCGGGATTTAAAATATAATATCTTAGACTAGGTGTTTTATCTATAATTTTCTAGATTATTTAATTAGTTTTCTAAGAATTTATAAAAGCCCTTTTATTCTTATAAATAATAACTATCTAAAGAATCACTTCTCTAAAGATCACTTAATATATAATCTAGATACATAACTGTTATCTTTATTTTATTTTTATTATTTTAATTATTTACTTCCGCGGTTAATTCTTGTCTAATAATAAATATTTAATAAGTAGTATAATCATGTGTCAAGTATTACTTCTTTTTACTAAAAGGCTTAATCTTTAGACTAGAGCCTTTTTTCGCGATAGAAGTAGTTTTTTTTAAGCTTTTTACTCTCTAAGAATTGCGGTTTGCTATTTCGCTGCCTTTTTGGGCGGCACCTGCCGCCGAAAATGGCCGCCTTTCAGCAACATCCCTCCGCCACGCTCCCGCCTGCTTCGACCACGCACCAGCTCACTCACCGCTTCTGCCTCAGGCTGCCATCGTGTGGGCGCTTACATCTTGGTTTCTGAGGGCTCGCTTTACCGTCGCTCTTTACACCCCTACGAGGGCGCCGAAAATGGCCTCCTTCACCCCGCCCGCTGCACTCTGGCCAGTACCCAGCCGCCATAGCTATAAATATCCTCTCCCCAACTGTCTTCCATCCAACATTATCTCCTCTTTCCGACTCAACCACCATCCCAGAGCTCTCCCTCTCCTTGTGCCTCCGTGCTATCTATTCAGTCGTGCATTAAAACGTCTCGAGCCCTTCGGCAGTTCCTTTCCACGGTCGGCATAATCTCCTGACCATGCATCGTCGTCGGAGGCCCAATGTCAGCAACCACCGAATCACCAGCAATTCCTCTTGTACCTCTCCCATCGATACCGACAGTAACAGACCGTTCGAGCCCGACTCCTCTGAGACCGATCTTACCGAGCCGGAGTGTTCCCCTCCAGCTGGTCGATATATTACTAGGAAGAAGTCAAGTCCAAGTACTGGGACAAAACCGTCACAACTAGACACATCGAATGTGGAGCGTGTCCACCACGCCCTATACCAACTTCCAGATAATAACACGGATAAGGACCTGGCCCAGGTACCGGAGGATTACGGCCGATCCAACAATACAAAGAAGCTGAAACTTCAACTGAAAGAGCGTTGGGCTTAGTAGGTGACTAGGATCTTGTTAAAAGATTACAGCAAGGTACTATCAACTAACCGACATGCCTTATCTCAGGTTCTGCCAAATCAAAGCAAAGAAGCCGTCCGCCGATCTAAAATAGGAGGATGCAGAGGACGCACTGCATAAGACATCTCCAAATAACATGCATCGATTTCTTAATTAGTGTCTGAAGCTGGAGTATAGTCCCGATGATCACCGTCAGAAAGGCTATACAAAGGCTAGCGCCCTGGAGGCGGATTGGAAATACTTTCAAATTTACTACACACGGGTTACTAAACATAAGATGAGCAAAGAGATGGATGAGGCAGTTCGCACGGTTTGTTTTTTTTTTTTTTTTTTCGATCCCCCTGTCATCTCAATAAGGCTTGCTCTGACGAGAACAGACAGGGCATAAGGCACTTGATCAACAAGCGTGGCCTTAACAAACAACTGCGGGCAAGTGCCCCAGTATACATCAAAGATATGGTCCCATTCAACGAGACAATCCTTCAAACCCGGGAAAAGCGATTCCACCTGGGGTTTCAGCGGATTATTCTGTGTCTATACAATACTATTAGGCTATTTACTGTCAACCGGAAGCAGGCAATACTTTATCTTCAGTTCAAGCATTTACAATTATCACTCCAGCAAGATCCGCGCGGAGGACCTCCGGTGCCAATAATAGAACTTGAGCCCTAGTTTGTGAAAAGCGTCCTGGGCATGTCGAAGCTGTAAATGCCACCCGATACTATATACCTACCTATCACATGGCTTGTCTGCTTCAATCAGACTAACTGGTTAATTAGAAACACATTCTTGCTACCTGAAATTATCTACAGCATATCACTTGTCTTCAGCCCGCACGTCCTGCTCTTTAGCATATTATTTTACGTCCATGCGTTTGAAGCGCCTCACTTGACCTCGATGGAAGACCTACGGAGGCTACTTGTTAAAGATGGCCGACAGAAAATGCCACTCCCCTTAAAAAAAGAGATAGATAATTACTATATCTTCCCGAAGGTCGATGTGATCTGTGGTCAGCCCCGTATTTTGTAGGAGACGCCTATAAATGGAAACACACTTGACACACAGCTCAAGACATCCAGTGAGATACACGGCTTCCTCAATCATTTTTTCTCTCACCAGTTCTGATACGGAGGAGGTGATTTGCTTAACAAGAGTGGTAAGTAAACTATAAACCCCCAAAGTTCTCTTCTCTCAATGGCAGATAGACTGAGTCTTTTGTCCAGGTTTCATCAGTGAAGCACAACGCAATATGATCATGGCCCACGCTACTAGCAGAACGTTTATTAAACACTATCGTCCCCGTCGACATACCGGCTTACAGGAGATCATGTGCGGCCTCAACCCTGATGAAGAGTTCTCTAAAGCTATGACCCGGATAAGCCATTAGATTGATCAGCGGCGACCACGGTATCTGAGTGACGCTGATCGGGAATCGGTGGAGAAGGACCCGGAACTACAATCAGCTATACACTGGTAATTCGAGCTGGACTCTTAGTGCGGCGGCTGCTTTTATAACCCAGCGTTGCGAGCGATGCTAGAGGACCAGAAGTGTAAAGTCCATAATCTGCGTCAGCATCTGCAAGAAAAACGGCGGAAGGAAATATGCCGTGATTTTAGTTAAAAACAGGCAGTAATTAACATTAAGCGACAGCTGACCGGTGGGGCTGTCAGTGACGAGCCCGCGCGCGAGGTATTATGGAAAGAGTTTGTAATACCACCGGAGCAGATTCTTCTTGTTGAGATGTTCTTCACTTGGCCCACCACTGATTTATTAGAGGATGAGTAGATACAATACAATAAAGCTGTTGCTGCTGGAATACAATATTGCGGTTTTCAGGAGGGTGGGCCCCTTCGGGGACGACAGAAGTGCTCTGTACCGTCTGATAATAATAATGTAGTTCTATCTCCGCTAGCTCAAAAAATAAAGACTGATGCGCCGCCAACTGCGTCATCGGAGAAGGAATGTATCTCTGGCAGGAAAGATATTCCGAATGCGGAACAAATATTCGCATGCTTCTAATGTCCCAAGGCATACTCCGACTATAATAGAGTAAAAAGGTATTTTAAATTATTATATTTGATGGACCGGAAATGTAATTTTTGCGATCTGTCTGTCCTGTACGAGATACACTTGCGGAGGCATGCTGGGGATGTATATGGCCTTCGAACGTAAGCATCGGGTTCTACTTGTCTAATACTGGAGGCCCTTGCCTATTTTATTTACGTGTTTATCTCTTTAAGCTTAATTGGTGAAGGTATCGTTGGATTGGTTGCTGTTTCATTAGAGAGTACTTTATTTGTCGTGATTATCTAGAGCCTTCGCAACAGATTGTACTTGTTTCTTAGATGTCCAGTTGTGACGATTGAATAATATTGACCATGTTAAGAACAAATCGAGGGCAGCAGGAATTGAAACTTAAAAGAGGAAATACTAGATTAATTTGTGTTCTGCCAGGCGGTGCGTGAAGCTGATGGGATCCGGATCGTCGTGGAGGAACAACTGACGGACGGAGTACTGCGATACCGGATGAAGCGCGGTGGCGAGATCACAGGGTTTGAACAGGTTACCAAGCCCTATGGGCTCCGGTACGGGGCCGCGAAAGCATTCAATGATAGCCGTAAGTCTCCGTTGCCCAGTTTTTTCCCGTTTGAATCGCTTGAGTCCTAACCCTTCTTTCCTTAAGCAGCGGACGTGACAAACGTGGTCCAAAGTGTGATATTACAGCATGCTAGCATTAACACATTTGTGAAACACTACAGTGTGGGCATACATGTCGACGCCCAGGCAATTGTCCGGGGTTTACCGGCCCAAAAGCAGTTAATGCGCTTTGCCACTTCTATGAGTCGGTCAATTAAACCCCGACGACCGTACAAGCTCGACGACACCAGCTGTGTCAATGAAGTACCTCGCGTGCGCGCTTTGCAGGAATACGTTCGTGAACGTACAATCATGGATCGGATGATGAGGGGACCACGGACGAGAAAGGCTCGGAGCCATATTACTCCGATAGTTCCTAGACCTCTGAACGGCTTAGAAGTGCAATGAACCTTTCGCAACTAAAGGTCGGGAATTTAGGTTGCCTATTTATCTAGTATCATGGCTTGAGCAATACTGCAGGTTGTATTTTCTTCCAGTCAAACTCAAATCGAATTTCGGTTTACAGTAGGCCTCGCTATGGCTTCAACAGTCTTTAATGCTTCTAGGTGGTGTGGTACACGGCCACTTATCTACCCTTTAAAAAACACCACGCGTTTGTAGCTTGCACAAGCGCGTTTTCCTGGCAACTGCGTAGAAACGCCTTTTCAAAGACGGGTAGCTTGCAGCAAAGATGCACCGTCAAGCAGCCAGTCGTAAGAGACCACGTGCGAGACAGGTAACATGGGAAGAGTGACAGGTGCGCGCACCTTATTGGCCGCGTGCTCGTGTTTGCCCGAACCCCGCAGGTCAAAGATCTCCCGCAAGACTATCAGCTTGCCTCAGACAACCAGCTTTCCAACTCCATATCCAATCCCCCTTTTCTTAGCTTTTTGATTACCCTAACCTCGAAAATGGGAAGTCGAACTGAATTGGACATCGAAGCAATGAAAACCACCAGTACTTTAGAGGAAATGGGCATCGACTCAAATAATATTACAGAAAGCTTCATTTCGCGTTGCATTGCTGCTCAGTCGTTTGCGGACTACCTCACCGAATCTGATACTGATATCGAAAACTCAACTCTCCCTCCCAGTAGACGTTGGCTATGGTATTGCAAGCTTCCCGATTGCCCAAAATACTATTCGGCCTGGACTTGCAAAACCAATTTCCTTCTTCACCTCTACGAGACACCAATTCATCGCGAGGATGGCAATACAAAGACGCGCGAAGATCGACGTACACTAGCAAGAAGCTGGAGGGAGGAAACTGCGTACGATCTCAGTGAGCCAAAAAAATCACCACCACAACATGATGATTATCAAAATGGAAACAAATGAACTTGGAGCTCAGAATCCATTTGTCCTTTTAACAGGCGGCATATGAGCTTTTACGTGCTGATGGTACAGCTTCATGTGGAGAGCTTTCAAGTTGTTTATCTTTACTGTGTCGTTTGGCTTTGGATCTAAGGATGTACCCGGGCAGCTTGCAGAACCTTAGAGGTATCAATATACTCCTTAGCCGATCTGGACTGGATTCAGTTCATATTCCATGTTGCGAGCTTGTCTGTTACACATTTGCACACGATGGGGTCCGACAACACCCAGTCTCTTGCATCATATATCAGGGCAACCATAATTGGTCAATGGCAGAAGTGGCCAGAAGGTTGGGACTCGACCTCCGCAGTTTCACATCAGTTGCTCTCAAGTGGCACAACAGCCAGGACCACATGAAAAAGGCCTGCAGGTTCTACATAGGATGAGGCTAGTGCGAGCACTTGGCTCCAGAAAGTCTGTTGGTCAGTCCCAGGGTGTTGTAGTTGATACTTCATCTAAGGAGTCGAACTATGAAAAAACAGTTGGCTCCAAGTTAATCCATTCTCTGCAACTAATGAGTATTCTCGTCTAGCACATCACATGAATGAGAGAGCATGAATGAGGGAAACAGTCTGAAATCCAAAGTACAATCCAGCCCCAAGCTTCTAGTCAGGAGGCAAGATCTCCCTGTTATTAGGCTGAAAGGACTAGTTCCGTAGGTCGTACCCAATCACAAGATCCTGCGCAGTAGTTCCTTAAGAAAGCCGTCTGCTTTGGCCGCTTGCTTGGGGAATATCTTCTGGGTGTCTTTGGTGTACTTCTTTAGCGCGGCGTTGTTAGGAAATTTTTGAACGATCGCTCCTGTGCGGCGAGAGTCGATCAGGTCAAATATGTTGACATGTACTTTAGCAAGAGCCTTTATTGTTTAGTTTCATTAGTCTAGACAGTTTATAACTAGAGATAAGGAGAAACATACCTTTCGACACTGCGTGACGCTAGTTAAAGGCCCCTCGACCCGCAACTCTTGACAAAGAGCTTGGTAGTTTTGAAGTTTGTTACCAATATCATAATAATGTCCAAACTCAGTACTTGCGAATTTGACCAGTTCTTTTCTGTATCTTTTAGAACCAGTAGTCCAATTCCTATAATGTGCTAGACGAGAAAATTCCTCGCTTGCAGAGAGAGACGGGTTAGGCTGGAAGCCTGGAAAACGAGAGAAGAACTCATCCTCCATTTTTTTCATAAGTAGGGGAAACGGGTTGTGGGACTTAGAGGTGTTTAGTAGAACCCACTTAATTATCTTAAATACCGCTTGAGATTTTGGTTCTGCCCCCCTATTATAGTTACGAGCCAAGCTGGAGGGTGTCTTTGGGATTCCTATATCTGCCTTACCTGGTATCTTTTGCATACTCTCAGGAGAGGAAAGGAGGAAAGGCCAGTGATTGGTAGCCCCACACCTTTTACCTGGTCATCTATCTTTGACCCATGCAAAGCTGGCATTTTCTCTGGTGGCGCCTCCCAACTGTTGGATCCCATTGGAAATTATTAAATCACGCCCTTTTGCGCCAGTAGTCGGTGTTAAAGCTGTGTGTTATGTACGAACCTAAGCGCTACGAGACAAAGAACAAGGCTGACGGGGAGGTCGCCAAGAGGAAGCTAAGTCAGAGCGGAACAGTGACAGCCAACCGATCCACGGAGAAGTGTTAACCATATCTGGATTTAGGGGATCATGTGATTAGTGTTTCCGACATGGAAGGCGATCCTGGGCGGGCCTGTATCCACTTCATCAGACGGATCACCAAGGTGGGGAATTCAGCCTTTCACGTGCCGCAGCCTCGTCTGGCCTGTTACCGCTTCACCTCTGGGTGATGACACAAGGCGAGCCAACATTTTATCACTATAGGTGTTTAAACTCCGCTCCGGCGGCGCAGCTAATCTGCATCGACGGCGAAGCAAGAGTCCCGTCCGCATGTTGCGCCGCCTAGAGACACAGCAAAACGGGACGACCTAATCGTAAGCAAGTCCGCAAACACCTCACTGAATGTGGCCAGAAGCTCCACCATCGAGGCGTAGTCTAAAAACGCTGTACTTGATTAAATATGCCCTCTCTAACCCCGCCTCGCTGCTCGAAGGACTTTCTCGAAAAAGAGAATCTAATCTGGAGTAAATATGACAAGCCGACCGGGCAAAAATCGCGGGCGCTTTTTTCTACATGTTCTGTTCAGTAAACCACCATAGCAAACTAAGACCCGTTTCGAGCATATACTCGAGTTCAGAACCGGCGCCCGGGACTTTGACAATTTTTGTTATTGTATCGTGCGCCAAGGATGCCGCTAGACCAGATATAGAAGGCTTTATAATACATATTGCATGGTACATACGGTACCAAACCGTAAAACAGCCATCGCAGGTATTTAGCCTTGGAAATCGTATTATGTTATAACAGTGGCTGTGATCGGCTATCCGCCATCAAATCGAAGGGGGCGAAACTTCAAGAAATATGAAAATCAATATAAAAGGCTCAGTTATCCCAGTCCCTCCTTTGAATAGAGATTAGAAATATAAAAGAAAGATTATTTGACAGATTGTAAACAGATTCAATCGGAAGATGGACAAAATCTAATAATAAGAACAAGACCGGACCTATACCCAAGGGCTAATATATTATGTTTAATATCATAGCAATAAGGTCCACGAAGTTCAAAAGGAAGCCATATTACTCTTTCACCGCTAAAATACACCCAATAGTTCTGAACCGATATCTGAGAGCGTTGTTCGTGCTCTACATGGGCATTACCTGACGCCACGGACCTAACCGAATCAGAATGGCCCTCAAAGGTGCGCAGCTCCGCGCCGCTCTGGGTATCCCAGACCTTGATGGTCTTATCATCAGACCCTGACACAATCCTCTGGCCGTCCGATGAGAAGGCCACGGATAAAACCTAATAGGAATGGCCCTCAAGGATGCGCAGCTCCGCGCCGCTCTGGGCATCCCAGACCTTGATAGTCTTATCACGAGACCCTGACATGATCTTCTGGCTGTCTAATAAGAAGGCCACGGAACTAACCCAATGGGAATGGCCCTCAAGGGTGTGCAGCTCCGCGCCGCTCTAGGCATCCCAGATCTTAATAGTTTTATTATCAGACCCTGACATAATCCTCTAGCCGTCTGATAAGAAAGCCACGGACCTAACTGAATCAGAATAGCCCTTAAGGATGCGCAGCTCCGCGCCGCTCTGGGCATCCCAGACCTTAATAATCTTATCATCAGACCCTGACACGATCCTCTGGCCATCTAATAAAAAGGCTATAAATAAAACCCAATTAAAATAGCCCTCAAAGGTCTACAGCTCTGCGCTCTATAACTTCTGAACTTTCAGCAAAACAGGTATCTAATTAGGTTGTTTGTTATTGAAGACCTTTCTAATAATACTATCTGTAAAAGAAAACGCGAGTCCAGTATAATAGATTTGGAATAGGGTATTATTCATCATTTAAATATATTTTAAAAGAAATTAGTTAGCATCCCATAGGAAGCCTCTTAATTCTGTTCTTCTATTCTCCTGGAAGAATATTAGTGGCTATTTAGTAATAGTTTAAATATTGACTTACTCTTAACTCTGACTGTAGTGTATTTATTGTACTAACAGTCTTAGTGGCGAGTCCCATTAAGCTTATTGCCTCTAACCAATGGAGGAAATGCTCTTTCAGAAACAAGAATACCTTTATTTCAGACATATCGGATTTGCTATTTCTGAAATAATACACCCAATAGCAGCAGGAGTAGCGCAGGCTTTGGGAAATGTGCTGAGACATCGTATGACTGTTAATTTCTTCCCGCTGTATCCCATAACTTGATAATTGACAGATATTGTATGTTAGCCCCGATGAGGAATCTTTTATGACGCGCAGATATTGTCCCAGAAGGTTTCCGTGAGTGTTTTTCTCATTAACACGCAAGTCTTCATCTTCTGTATAAATAAGGAATTCTCGGAACAATAGATGCAAGATACGGACTAGTTTAGCAGAATCTATGGGAATACTAAGGACTAAGTAAAACATATCCAGTTAAACCATAATCATTTTTTTTTCTATACTAATAAACTCTGGAAGATCTTTTACAGACAATAAGTCAGCAAAAAAAATAATAACACTTATTATCTTATAAAAGTCTTTCTTGAGGTCTGAACAGCTCTCAACAAAGTCTTTTAATATTAGCCGGTATATCCTTCCCATTCCGGACGATGCCGTCGTATCCTGGTTTTTAAGGATAATCACAAACTGTTCTTCTGGCATTTTATACTTCTCTTCGACAAAACAGTAAATTGTAGCTATAAAAATAAACAGAGGAACAGCTATTTTAACTAATTTCTCTGTCCTCTCATATCCAGGCCAATTCTCAGGGACTTTCCCCTTTTCCTTTAAGAGAGAAAATCAATACTATAAAAAAACACGGATATTATCTTTAATACTAGGTACTTCTTGCAAAACAATACCTTAATGATCGCGATTTTATTTAAAGCTATCATGTATTAAAAGCTTAGGCCGGCTTATCAGGAATATCCGCAGGCAAATAGACTTAGATCCCTGTAGCCGTGGTAAAAGTCTAAGTAAGACTTTAATATCATTATTATCGCACTCATCTAATACATCTATTATAATCACAGAAGTAGTTTTATACTGCTCTCTCTTACTTAATAATTAAATAAGAAGCTTCTCAAATTACTGGTCGAGAGCTCTAGTAGATAAATCTATATCCTTCCGAATTACTCCTAACACGCCAGGAGTCAAATACGGGTAACTAACTATTAGTTACTTTATAATTATCAAAATAAATCTTCTCGCATTACCACGGTCCGCCTCGCCTCTTTTAAAAAAGAAACTACCTCCTAGTAGTCCCTTTTCTCTAAGTAACTCTGTGATTATCCGGGAGATAGTAGACTTGCCAGTTCCTGCTATACTATTTAACTAAAATATAGGTTTATCGGATGTTTTGGCCTAGTCTATAATCTGGCAAAGGAGATCACGTCTGGTTCCTGGTAGGTACTTCTCTCTATACTGATTCTCATATGAGTCGTATAATGCCCCTTGCGCGATAGATAAACTAAATCTTTTAATAAGAGCTTGCAGATGCTCTAATATCTCCTTATTAATTCTAGCTAGCCGGGACTCTGCTTCTTTCTTATTTTGTAAAAAGGTATCTAAGGTATTAAAATAAATACACTAATATAGTTTCTGCTATTCTTCCTTAATAAATAACTGAAGTTTAGTAAGCTGTTAATCGGTTATCAGTGTGACATAAATTAATATTCTTTTTCTGATACTGGGTTACTGGGTAGCTAATAGCTCTGCTATATATCAAAGAATAGTAATATAAATCCTGATTATCGCACGGTCTATCTTAATATTTTTCTTGGAGCTATTACAGTAAAACTTTTATTTAATATAAGTATATTAAGTAATAATGTCTGCAAGGTATTCTGACAATTTAAATAAGGCATCCCGTAAGTCAAGTCGATTTTGCGCCATCTATAATTAAGAATATCAGTCTCCCGCTATAGAATAATAGTAACATGGCTCACTGTCAATCCAAGGGAAACAACTGCCCATGTACTTGCTATATAATAGATAGGATTAAAGGCTACCACGGCAGTAATAATATCTTTGAATAATAATATAGTATTAAGTATTTTCTGTGACAGCCTTCAAAGATCTATGTTTTCTCCTGTTAACTAACAGATTTTAATATTTTTTTTCTAGTATTCCTTATATTACTTCTTAGTTATTTAGATAATCTTATTAATAATATACCTAGTCTAAAAGAAACTTTCCTTCTTTTCTGAATTAGTATTAGCTTATACTATAGATAGAATAACTTACTTCTCGGGATTTAGCTTATTATAGGCAGATTTTTATAGGTCTTCGGGCAGGGAAGTATCCCGAGTGTTAACTGTATCAGGCGGTATGGCTGCGGTGATTAGGACTAATACGGGAACCACAGACTGGTTGGGTTAACTCCTAATATAATATAGCTCGGACTTATTATAGTAGGAAATACTAAGATTTTTTAACCACTGTTTTATTATAAGCAAATCTAAATAATTATAATATATGCTAAAACTTTATAGAGAATGACCTGGGGAGAATAAATAAGGTAAAGTAGATTTTTTATAAGAGTATCTTATCTTGATGTATTAGTGCGGCTAAAAGGGTAGAGTCTTATTATTAACTAAT